TTTTTTTTTTTTTTTTTGAAGTTAATGTTATTTTATCTTCTTCATTTTTATTTTTTTGACCGAAATCCTACATTCAGCCCCTGTTTGGGTTGGGCTAAAGTCTCAAATTAAAGTCAAAATTAATTTTAACCACATATGTATGGAACTTGTAACCTTTAACTACACATCTAACTTTTTTTTTTTTTTTTTAAATCAAAATTTAATAAAAATCTAATTTTAATTTACATCTAACATGGGGTTATAACTTGTACTCTATGTTATTTATTTTGAATCAAGCTTTTCTCAACTTTCTTTTTCCTTTCATGACTGCACCGTTAACAAAAATTCTTATGCTTTTATATGTGCCATCTATGCATAGTCATTAGTCAACCCTAAATTATAGTATCAAATACAGTTTGTTATATGGGTTATTCCCCTTGTACCGAATATATTTCATAGAATTAGATATTTCATAAAGTAACCAACAAACGATAGATCCGTGCATTTAATGTAATCCTATGAACTCTTTTCCAAACTCAACAAAAGAATAGAAGATCACACAAATTTCTTATTGTAATCTTGTCAAATTATGAAAAATTACTTTCATTCACTCTCATCACAAAATTACTATAAAACAATCATGCTCGAGTCTTGAGCAATGAGATTAAGCAATAAAAAAGTATCACAATTAAAAAGCAAAGGCAGCTATTCCTACAGGCAGCCAATTAAAAAGTATCACAATGAGAAGAAGCCAAGTAAATTGCATTTATAGATGTAGCTCTCAAATTTGAAATCAAGTTATAGCTCTGACTCAGTTTCAAATAAGCAATCCGTCATGTAAATTAATTTGCTTAACAAAATCTTGTCCTAGGGAAAAAGAAATATCAAACATAGATGCCGGAAGCAAGTAGCAAAAACAAGGATCCAAAACCCTGCCAATTGAAACAAAAGTTTGGCATTATCAACAAATAGATTGAGATGGGAAAAGTGACGTTCAGTGTGAACAAGTATAGACAATGTTGACATACCAAGAAGACAGATGCCACCGCCCCTGTAGTGAGCTCCTTCAAGAGACTGCGATTCTTCCTAGAGGTAGTAGCTTCATAGCTGCACAGCCAACAAAATAATAGCTAAATTGACAAAATGGAAATTGAAGATATAAACCCTCTCCCATACAGTCAAACTTTCTGTAAGCACCTTCACTCTGAGCTTATCTTATTTGAATCCTTATTAAGTCATTTTTTATCTAAAGCCTCCTTGATACCACGACAGGCCTACTGCCATATAGATATCACTGTATTTCATTGTAAAATCTGTCTGCCATAAATGGTCATCTATTTAGCTACTTGTAAAACAAAAGAGTGAAATTGCTGTTGGGTCACTAGTAAGTGCTCAGTGATTGTATCACCCAATTTTGCTGCAGATCTAAAGTTGAAAATCATTGTCTAACACAAATAGAAGAGGATGACGTTGTAAGTTGAAAATCATCTTCTGACCAAGATAAGAAAATCGTTGCTGCTAACGGTGAAGAGATGCAGGAATTAGCGGTTGACGATCATTTTCTAGTGGACAGATGTATTGATCAAACCGGTATAATTTTGCTAGCCCAACATTCTTCTCCCTTCATCACTGGTTGGAGAAACGTTAACATTGATATTCATTCGAAATGAATTAAACTCATTGTGATCCTAGGAACTTACTATTGCTTATTTTCAAACGGTCATTGAGATTTCCTTGAGTTAGAGTTGTTAAACTCAAATTTAAAGTTCATCTTAATTTGAAAATTAAAGCGTTTGAGCATTGCGTGAAATGTTCTTTTAACAGTCAAAATAGACATAGTCTTGCTTTCACATTTCAACTTAACCTACAATCATTCAATCATTATTATCTTCTACTATTGTTCATTCTCTAATGCAGAATTTGTTTAAACTATTTCATACTTTGATTTATCCCATATATTTTTGCAGCATACTCAATTGTATCCGCTCTAAGTGCTCTTAAAAGTACTTTCAAGTAGCCAAAAAAATGATTGTATTATAATATATTCACTCCCTTCTGGATACCCCGTAGGATCAAATAAGCTTCTAAGTGAGGCACCATCTTCCAAGGACCGCTAGAAAACACTTAACCTCATTCGCATAAGGAGAAGTACAATTGCATGGCTAAGTCTCTACTTAAACTCTCACACTTAATATTGATCCATGAGATGGGGAAAGCAAGAGTGGACTCCAGGTGAATTTTAATACACATTATTTAGTCCCAAGTATGATTTTTGGGATCATACGTCAAAGAATTAGACCATGATTCAACTCATAGCTTACTAAACTCGTATAAAATTTGTTGGCTTGCTATTGCCAATTAGGGAATAAAATTAAGTCCCTGATTGGTAGATATTAAAATCAATTTTTAGTAAATTTTGATAAAAGTTGATGAATATGTGATTGATAAGTTGTGGGTTTCATGAAATGAGTGGTTAAAATTAATGATTGACTTTGAATTGAGATTTTAATTGAATATTAATTCAAACCAAACAAGGCTAAATCAACCAGATGTGGATGCGAAACTCAAGCAAGAGCATCTCCATCGTTGCACCATTTCACCAAATATTTGTTGCAAATCTCCTCCAACTTATTGCACAATTTTGGTGCAAAATGATGCAAAAGAATAGTGTTGCCATTTTGCACCAAAATGGTTAAATACAATTTTGCCTCTCTCTCACTTTGCAAAAAATAAATGGTTTTAAGGATATTTGTGTCCATTTTTGTCATACAATTTTGTAATACAATTTTTTATTATTATTCTTATTATTGTAATACAATTATTATTATTATTATTATCATCATCATCATCATCATCATCATCATCATCATCATTTCTTATTTGTGGTATTTCTATTAATTGTACTACATTTTTTAAATTTATTAATGAATTCAATATTTTCGTTAATTTAATGTAATTATTTATCTAGTAATTTACGAAGTCATAAAATAAATAAATAAATAATTTTTCAAATAAATAAATTGTTAAGAATCAAAAATAAAAAAAAACAAAGAAAATGACTAAACGATGTTCATTTGGTGTAAGTTTTGGTGAAATGGGTTGAAGATGATTTTCAATTTGGTACAAAACTTACTCAAATTTGATGCAGGGTTGCACATGGCCAAAGTGAATATGGAAACCCACCAGAATTTAACCCACCTTCCAGGCTTGCCACTTATTTCAAGGCCTACTACAGAAATGCACTCTCCAACAAGAGAAATTCAAAGAACCCAAAAGAGAACTCAACAACCAACACAAACCACGAGTTTCTTTCTCCCTGTCGTCCAGCAACACCAGCACTTCCCTCCCAAATTGCAAATAGACATCTACATACATGACATGACATTAACTAGCCCCAATCTACCATTATTCCCTTTTCTTTAAGCCCAGGCAAGCTGAGAACAACCAGAAAACCTGGGCAGCCAACTTATTCAAAAACTGAACAAGCAGCATATGGTGTATGGACTCAGATTAGGGATGCAGACATGTATCGCCGGCAACGCTGCAAGAAATGTCCCAAAACTAAAAACACATTATGCATGATACACCAATTAATGTTTAGTATTTGAATCTTTTCCAACATTGTAAATGTAATCAAACACAACTTTTTCCATGCCAATTAGTTATGACTCAAAAACTTAGCATAATCTTGGTAAATACAATAATACCCCCTCAATTTTAAAAATAAAACACATTCCACCCTATTATCCAATTTCATTCAGTATTTCATACCATTTTCCTGTGTCTTATCATCTTTAAAGGACAAAAATGTCCACGAGATAGACGTAGGCAAAAGAAGATGCTAAGATGGATGTACAGCCATACTAGAACAGAAAAGGTAAGATGTGAAAACATGCATTAACAAAGTCGCACACAATTGAGGATAAATTAAGACAATGACAAATTGGATAGTTGGGTCATGTTTTGCTAGACAGAAGAAGCTGATGATATTTAAAAGAGCAATGAAATATTAGAAGAGAGAGAATGATAGACCAAAACATAAGAAAGATTTTATTTTATACGACCTATTCGTAGACCATAGCTGTGGCGTTACATCAAAAGGAGTGAAGAATATTGTTCCATGCAACCATTATTGGTCACAAACTTGTGCTCGTGTCTTAATCACGATCCTTCATCACATCATCTTACAGCTGCTACTGAGTACCTCATTGGAAAATCCAGTACCCATTATACCCTTTAGGATCAACAGCCAATATCATTACACTCTTAAAAAAATCATACTTCACCATCAAGATTCCAATGGACCACCAAATTTCACACTTGAAGCTTTAAAGAATTATTTGTGTTTCCTAACTAAATTTATGACTAGGTACTATATTACCTTCAGGGAAATTACGTGTTATGTAATTAAAGAATACCAAGTTTACTATATACTCTACCAAATAATGAGTGCCGAACATGGGTAAGGATATACTAGACAAAGAAAATCAGGAACACAGTCAACCTAATGACCAACTACCTAAGCACATAGGATATAGGCAAAATTGTATACCATACAGATACAGAATTAAAGAAATTGCATTAATACATGAAAGACAGCAATCACATAGACTAACTCCGGTTAACAGGGCACAAATGATGGTCTTCTGCATCATTAGATAAAAAAAGATCCATAGTTCACACAAATGGATCCCCTATATGTTTTAGATGAAAATTTCAAAAATAATTGTTCTACAAATTTACAAATAAACACATGTTTAGTGTATAAATAAATCTTGTAAAACCGCAACTAATTATCCCAGAAAATGAATTTGAACTAGAAAAAAGATTTTTGACGAGATATGACATCAAAAATCACATGAGGAAATGCATACGCTCAAATTCAAATCCAAAATTCAAGTAAATAACATCTCGGAAAAAATATAGAAACGATCGCTTACATGAAGAAAGATGCAGTGACAACGAGACCTATAGCGAGCATGAAAACGGCAAGGGTTGGGTACCATGCGTCTGGTACAGGGCTAGAGATCGATTTTGTCGTCTGAGAATTTTTTTCAGAAAAATCAAATGCAAATTAACGGAAATCAAAATTGTGCAAAAAATGTAAAAGAACTAGGGATTTGGTGATACCATTTCGAAGTATACAAGTGATGATGAGCAGATCTTCCTTGGACTGCTGCTTTTCTTTCTTTTACTCCAAGACCAGAAGGTTTTCAACCCTTTTGTTTTGTATAGAAGTGGAGCGGATTCTGTGTGCTCGGGTACCTGGAAATATTGTGGACTCAAGTTGATATTTGACTAAACTCCAATGACCCGTTGACCCTGTTCGTTAAAATATGTCAGGCTTGGCTAGGTTTTCCAAAATGGAAAATATGGTTCCAATTTTTTTTTTTTTGATATTCAGGTATCCTAACTTACACTGGACTATGTCCTAGACCACCCATCTTCGGGCCCTCAGTGATGGGTGAAGGTTAATCGCGGGATATGGCCAAATTGACCAAGGTCTGTGCACCCTTTATACTCCTGACACCAAGGGAACCTTCCTCCATGAATATTACATCACCAAGCTGCTCCACCCAAATTGAGTATTACAACACTCAGCTGCTCCATCCAGGAATCGAACTCCCCACCCTGAGGTTCCAAGCCCAGCAGTGTCCATCCTTTGCCAACTTGGATGTGCCCGGGGGGCTTAATATGGTTCCATTTTTCATTTTGTCACTCATAACCTTTCTTCTTAAGAAATATTTTTATCAAATTGTTACCTTCACAAGAGTTAAATAAAAAAAAAAAAAAGTGAATTGGACCAACACGATCGGAGTGGCTTAAAAAAAAAAAATTGTCCATAATTTGAAACCAAGACATTGAATATTGGTTAATGTGTAGGGCTTGTAGACGGCTCTATTCGCTCAGAACTCATTAGACTATCAGAATCTATACGCATCAAAATTTCAATTCATGAATTTCTCAATCAGAGAATTCAAAATGAGATTTCAATTCGAGATTTCAATTCGCCTCTGACCATCAAATGAAATTTGAATAACTTGAAACCAAGACATTGAATATTGGTTAATGCTTATTGCTTGTAGACGGCTCTATTCGCTCACAAACGAAATATTTTAAATATTCCTAGAAAAGAACCCATTAGACTATCAGAATCTATACGCACCAAAATTTCAATTCATGAATTTCTCAATCTGAGAATTCAAGTTGAGATTTCAAATCACATCTGACCATCAAATGAAATGTGAATAACCCGTCATCTTCTCTTTGAGGATATAATTGACGCTTTTTCAAATTCAATAAATGTTAAAGCAAGATCTTCAAACCATTCATTCGCCTTCTCTTATAAATTTTTAGCTGTTGATGAATACAACACTAAAAGAAGCAAAAGGTACATTATCAATTCATATCATTTCTCACCCTTTGGCCCCACCAAAAAAAAAAGGACTCGAGATGTTGCTGAAAAATTGTTGAAACAAAATGCAATTTATTGGAGGCAAAATTTACTGCATAATTGGAATTATAATCCTTGCAATCTAATCCCATCCGTCTTGCTATCCTTGGTACATAATAACTTACTGCAACATCTTTATACAACAGAGCAAACTAAGCAATTAAAGAAAGACGGTGTCTAAGAAGCAAGAAGAGTCGGTCCATCTCTCGTCTCTTAAAAAAACTCGGCAATCTTTCAATAACAGCTCAAAAGATACGAAAAATCAGAAATCCAACAAAAATCCCAAGCGCCTGCAGACATATGGGAAAAAGCAAAGGTCAATCACCACAGAACATGATTCACCATGCATCACACTGACCACAGCATGGGAAAGCAACAAAGTACACAAGTAAAAACTTCATCGAACTGCTGAATTATCAGTAAATGAAAATATAATCCATCCATGAGCAATGCTGCTCATCCAGGGCCAAATCCAGGGGGCCGAGGTGCATCGATTTGAATTCATGTGGGGCCCCTTTTTTTAAAAATCAGGGGCTGAGGTGATTCTGGTCGGTCACTCACCCTGGCCGACCAGCATTAATGATCCATCCATATATGAAAGCCAGTAATCTAGTAGGACATCACGACACACGCATACTCACAATCGTAATTATATTGACAAACATAAAACTACTCATAAGTAAAGTATATCCAAACTTAAATATTCCAAAAACAATGGATGAACTTATTTTACTGATGAGTAAACATAGTGCCTGTCTGGTAGCAATTAAAATGGCCCAAAAAATTCATTTTCCTAACGTTGCATCTTACTTCAGCCGCAAACCTTGACCGGCCATCTCACATGCGGGCCCCACTAACGGTCAGAATTTTGATTACAATTCGGCCAAAATCATCACCAGGCTGGCCCTTAATTTTAAAGAGCTCCTAGGGATTGCAGGCTCTGTCCTAAACAATACATATTTTGAAAAAAAAAAAAAATTCAGAATCTCCCGTCCACTGACATATTTTTCTCCTAAGTCTAGCAGATGATGCCGAAGGTAGAACAAAATGCTATTTCCTAAAGAGAACTGAAAATAAAATTTCCAGAATAAGACCAAGCACAAATTGCAAGACACGGCCAACAAACAACTCTCCAGTCTCTTTACTGAGGGATATGGAAAGGGATGAAGAGTTGCCTCGTGCTACAACAGACAATTTAAAATTGAATCGAGATCAAAGGTCATGTAGATGTAATACTGACCAACAGTAATGTAAAAGAAGCACGTGTTAAGCCCTCCGTTTACTCAAACGCCAAGAATTAGGTTCATGGTATCTGTCGTATAGGGGTTCAATGCGCTCTTGTCTCTTGCGCTTGCTCATTTTTGTAGGATCTGCCACCTTGAAGAATCTTGGTGCCAGTTCAACAAGCCACTTGGGATCTACGACTGTGACCTCGCGCATATACTCCTTTGTAGTCATAACCAGCTCATGGTAAATAACCCAGTCTGGTTGTCTTTGGAAGAGAGCACTGCTTGGATGTATATAAACTGGCTGATTCTCAACAAGTGTTCTATAACCTTCTTGTGGATCCTTCCTCGCTGCATGGAAAAAGAACCCTGCTGCAATAGCCTTCCTTATCTTTGTAAAATTTTTCCCAGCAGAGACAACATCCAATTTGTACCTGAACATAAGAAGCATGAGTTTGATATTTGTAAAAACCAACACATTTCAAATCTTAATTCTAAAGCATGACATAAAAACATACGAGGAAATATAAAACTGAGACAGCAGTGTGTGAACCTAGAACTAAAATGCAGATCCTCTTTCCCAAATACTAAGCTTGCAATTGATAAATGTTCAAAAGTTACAAGCATCACCTATGATGCTGAATATGGCAAAGAAGTAATGTCAGCTAATTTTGTTTCTTCACCCTTTTACTTTCCAGAATTGTGTTAAAGTGTCAATTTCAGCAGTTATTCCCACTCTCCTACTTGCAATCCTCTGGAACACCGCCAACACCGCCAAAAAAGAATAAAAAAAAGAGAAGGGAAAAGAAGGCTATACTTGTCCATGATTGAGAGAAGTTGTTTCCTGACATCCTGTGCCCTCCTCAATGATCGAGACTGGACAAAGTTTTCAAAGCACCATGGTCCCGAGAAATTTTTTGCTTTCCATGCCTCATAAACAGCAAGTAGTGTCAGATGGTCTCCCTCGGGCTGGAAAAATTTTGCCCTTTTTTGATCTGCTTGAGCTTGTTTTTCCCTAGGTCGGTAAAAGATGTTTCCTGTCTGAATCATTGCAATGATAGTCAAAATCTCATCACTACAACCGAGATCTACACTGGCAAGAAGCATCTTAGATAGTGGAGGTTCCAACGGAAATTCGGCCATTTTCCTACCCAACTTAGTCAGAAGCCCCTCTTCATCTAGAGCTCCTAAACTGTACAGCTGTTCCATGGCAGAAATGAGAGCTTGAGGAGAAGGTGGGTCCATAAAGTCAAAAGATAACAGATCGTTGATACCCATAGCTTTCATAGTTAGGGTAGTCATCCCAAGATTGATCCTCTGGATCTCTGGAATCGACGTGGGGGACATCTCATTATGGAAAGCACTCTCAGTATAGAGGCGATAGCACTTTCCTGGCCCTGTACGTCCTGCTCGCCCAGCTCTTTGCTTGGCTGATGCTTGAGATATTGGAGTAATCACCAGTGAGTCGAGCCCCTGTTTAGGATTGTAGACATTTTGCTTTGCAAAACCCGGATCGATAACATAAAAAATACCATCAATTGTCAAAGAAGCTTCAGCAATGTTGGTAGCAACAACAACTTTTCTCTTCCCTGGAGGAGCAGGATCAAATATCCTGGATTGCATTTCGCTAGGAAGGGCACTGTACACTGGTAAGATAATCAGCTCAGGAACATTTTTACCTAGACCTTTCATCCTTTCATAGAGACATTGACATGCATAATCAATCTCCTCCTGACCAGTCAAGAAGAGAAGGACGTCGCCCTCTGGTTCTGTCAAGTGAATCTGCATGACAGTGATGAGAGATGCATCAAGGTAGTCACTCTCCGGCTGCTTGGTGTACAATATTTCTACAGGGAAAGTTCTTCCAGGAATTGTGAAGATGTTGCAGTTGAAGAAATACCCAGAAAATTTCTCTGCATCCAACGTTGCAGATGTAACAATCAGACGGAGGTCAGGTCTCCGTTTCACAAGTTTTTTTAGCAGTCCGAAAAGAACATCAGTATGAATTGTCCTCTCATGAGCTTCATCAAGCATTATCACCGAATACTGTGTCAAATTCTCATCAATCAGAATTTCCCTGAGAAGCATACCATCAGTCATATACTTGATCACAGTCTCTGGCCCTGTACAATCCTCAAAACGAATAGCATATCCAACTTCTTCCCCTAAACGACAACCAAATTCCTCGGCAACTCTCTTAGCTACAGACATTGCAGCCACTCTACGAGGTTGAGTGCATCCAATTTTGCCTTTGGCTGTGTACCCTGCCTCAGCTAGATACTGGGTAACCTGTGTAGTCTTTCCAGAACCTGTCTCACCAATGACAACTAGAACCTGATTTTCATGAACAGCTTGAACTAGTTCATTCTTCAACTTGTATATTGGCAAGCTCTGCCTCTGTTCCTGAATGGACAGCTTTGATCTTTGGCCAAAAGTAAGGGCTTTACCATATGCATCCTTCTTCCACTCTGGCATATCATATGCAGACAAACCAACACCCCTTAGCTCCTGAGCAAGATGCCGCTCACCGGTCTCTGGCATTGGGTCTTCCCAAGGCCGATTCAAATCCTTCGGAATCGAATCCAGCATTGTTCTTTGTTGTTGTTCTCTCACTTCTCTCCTCTCCTTTATCAGAGCAGACTGAAGTGCTGCCGCACGACTCAAAGACCCCTCAGGATTCTTGAATATTTTCACAGGAGACATATCGATAGAATAACGAGTCTGGCCATTTAAGAAAGCCGGCTCATCCTCATTCAATTCAATCTCAAGCTCCTCTTCTGCACCACCTTCTTCCTGATAGAGCATTCCATCTCCATCTTCATCATACATTGGATACTCCTTCACGCTCATAACACCTGAAGCAATCAGCTGCTTTGCCTCCCATCTCTCAGGCGAACTCATCCTCTTCAATGGACGCCGCGATGGAACAATGTCGTTCTCCTCCGTAATCTTAATCCCTGAAATACCAATCCTACTCCCCGTACCCCCACCATTGCCGCCAGAAGGATTCGTTCTAAACCCTTCGTCCTCCCCACTCCTCTTCAACGGCAATAAATCCTTTCCACTATTCTGATCCACGTCCCTCATTGACAAACTCAATTTATTCCCACTCACTGAGATCACCTTTACATAGACCTCCTGGTCTCGCTTCACCACATCCTTAGCATTTGTAATCCTCCTAGTTGCAATCTGGGATACATGTACCAAACCTTCCTTCCCTTTTAACTCATCAAGCTGAACAAAACAGCCTGTATCCATCACCCTTGAAACTCTCCCCTTATATACCGTGTACAATTCAGGTTCATTCGATCTACTATAACTCTCTTTCCTCCTTTCCTTCCTCTCATCCTCCCTCCCTTCCTCATATCCATCTTTTGTGTTCCTCTCATATCTACCCATGTCCCTGTCCTTATCCCTGTCCCTCTGCCTGTCCCTTCCTCTATCATTATAATCACCATAACCATCCCTGTCCTCATATCTACCCCTCTCTCTATCTCTATCTCTGTCTCTGTCTCTATCTCTGTCTCTGTCCCTTCTCCTCTCTCTTCTATCTCGATGGCTGTCCCTATGCTTTCCCTTCTCTTCTTCCTCTCCATGGATCTGCTTCCTAGCTTCCTCTTCAATCTCCCTCTCCAGTTCCTTCACCCTATCCCTGCTGTCCTTAATTTTCAAGGCTGAGAACCCCGATTTATCCCCCTCCTTCGAGCCAATTTCCGATTTCTCTTTCGTTCTCGGCGGCAAAATGGCGTGAATAATCGTAAGAAGAGTTCTCACAAAATAATCAGGCATCTCCGCCCCATTCTCTTTCAATTTGGCATCAAAATCATCCACTGTTTCGCATTTTCGACCCATCTCGGTAATAAATTCCGCTAAAACCTTATCTCCAAACCCTAAATGGGTCTCGAGTTCGGTGCAAACCTTCGAAACTAAGGACAAGTATTCAAGTTTCTTCAATCCATCGTCTTTAATTTGCTTAATTCCTGCCCCTTTCTTCAATCCATCGTCCTTACTTTGTTCGATTTCTGTACCCATCTTTCTCGCGCAAACACACGCAAGTTATATATATACACGTACTATATCAGTATATAAATATGAAACCTTCGAGATCTAGGGTTTTTGAGCGTACCTGAAATTTGGATTAGAATCGAGCACAGTTCTCAGATTTTTCAGTTCAGAGAATTGATTTTTGAATACTTATTTATGGTGACGTCGTTTGCCGTTGTGCCAATCTTGATATTTCTTATAGTTTTGTACTTTCCCTTTTCATGTCCTTTAATATTTTTTTCATAATATTGAATCAGACGAGTGCGTTGTTTTAGTTAGAAAAATATTAAATTTGGGTAATAATATTTCCATAAAATTATATTTTAATATTAAAAAGTATTAATTTATGCAAAAATCAAATCAATACAAAAATGTGGTTTCGAATAATTTAATAAAGATGATTAAAAAATTAATCACCAAGTTGAATTTTGATATACTTTCGTAAGTTGGTTTTATACTCGTAGCATTTAGGTCCCGTTTGGGAGTGATTAAAATCCAATTGAAATTGAAAATATGGCCGTTATTGAGTCCCACCCGTCTAATAAAAGTCAACAATAACGGCTATATTTTCAATTTTAATCCGATTTTAATCCCTCCCATACAAGGCCTTATTCTTTTTTATCAATATACCAACATTGTTAAAAGTAGTGCTACTAGTAGCCATATCAGAGCCTGTTTGGTAGGGATTTTTGGGGGAAGAATTGATTTTTGAATAGNTTTGATGGAAGAATTGATTTTGAATAGTGATATGATGGGAAATGTGTGGTTGAAAAAGAAGAAAAAATTATTGATGTGATGGAAAATATTATTTTATTGAAGAATGTGTGGTTGAAAATAAGAATTGATTTACTGTAGAAAATCAAAATTCATACCAAACAGGCCCCAATGTTTTATAGGAAACCATTTTGATTTTGCTTGAGTTGAGATACTTGTATACTCGTATCGAAATGCAAAAATAATTAAGGCTATGTTTAATAGCCACCTTTTCCATGGAAAATGGAAAAAAAAATCCTATTCGGTATTTCCACCCTTAAATTGGTGTTTGATAGGAAAAATTTGGCATAGAAAAGGAATTCCCTCCCACACGTCCCTTTTCCAGCATTTCGAAGAATTTCTTTTCCTAACTTTTTGGTGGGAAAAAGAATTTCAACTTCTGGTAGATTTTTTTTATTTTTGGCAATGAAAATAAATTTTATAACCTATTGTAAAAAAAAAAAAAAAAAATTCACTTAAATAGACAATTTTCAAATAAAACGAAATCAAATGAACACTAAACGTTGATAAAAAATGGTGAAAAATAGGTTTCAAGCAAATTTTTTTTTTTTTTACTTTTTGGCAATGGTAACAAATTTCATAACCAACTGTAAAATAAAATGGATAATTTTCATATAAAACAAAGACAAACGTGAACAAAAAGATCTAAAATTTTAAAATTTTTCCGGGTGGAAAATTTTAAAATGTTCTCTTAGAGTGTGTTTGGGACACGTTCTTTTAAAAAAATGTATTATTTAATAGTAGATTAATGGAAAATGTGTAGTTAAAAATGAAGAAAATGTTATTGATGTGATGGAAAATATTATTTTATTGAAGAATGTGTGGTTGAAAATGAGTAGAAGAATGAGAATAAAGAAATAATGTGTATTAAACAGAGTCCAATTAACAATTCAATACAAAACAAGTTCTAGGCAATTAGGGTATGTTCTCTTTATCATTTTTAAGTCGTTTTCTGTTTTCAATTTTTCGAAACAGTAAAAACGCGCTCTTTTTCCTATTTTTGAAAACGCATTTTTTGAAAACGAGTTAAAAATTTACAAGAAAACTCAAAACAACAAATTTGTCGTTTTTGGTGTTTTTAGTTATAATCAAATAAAAATTTTCAAAACGCGTTTTGGATGTTTTCTAAATAATTTTTCAAAATGTCAAAAATAACACATTTTCAACAATCTCAAAATGAACACTCAAAACACAAAATTCAAAATGAATTCAAAACTGAAAATATAAAATTGAAACACAAAGAGAACATCCCCTTACTTTCCCTGAAATTCATTTTCTTTCCACCCATTTTCCACTATTTCAATCAAACAGGCCCTAAAAGATATACTTGAATTGTCTCATCCAGGATGATGTGAAGACTCTCCAATTAGTTGAGGAATCAGGATAGGGGTGGAGACATAATCTCCACATTGACTTTTTTTTTTATTTAAAAATCTAAAATGTCCTCTCATCCATTACAATTCTCGACTATATTAAAAGAGTGAATCCGTCAAATACTGTTCATTTTAAAGTATTTTCGTTGTCCCAAATTGTTATCACCATGCCGAGTACTGTTCATTTTGTAGCATTTTCGTTAGCTCAAATTGCCCACATGTACAGCATCTACTATTTACACCAACTATCTCCTGTCTATCTTCCACCATTCACATGTGGGTTAAGGATAATTTGGAAAGATTATTTTTTAATCAATTTATATGCCTACAATTGTTGACTTTTTATCGGGAAAAAAATTTGGTTTGCTTAGCACTACCGTGCGGAGCTGATGCTCCGCATTGTGCGGATCATTGCTCTGCACTGTGAGGAACATCCACACGAAAGCATCAGTGCGGAGCAATTCCGCACTTTTGTTTTTTTGTTTATTATTATTATTATTATTACTACTACTGTGCAAACAATAATGAATTTCTAAAAATAATATTAACCAAATTTACAAACACTTATTAATGATTTAGTTCAAAAACATTAATGAAAATTATAAAACCTCATAATTGCAAAGTATTCATTTTTTTTAATTGTTCACGAGCTCGTTTCCATCCATCAAGCTGTAAATTATTCTATTATTCTCTCTCTCATATATTCATTTTTGTCACATTCCATTTCACACTTCAACTGGTATTTTACTGTTCACTTATCAGTTAGTAGTGTTCATAAATATCTCCCTAATAACTAAAATAGCAAAAAGATAAAATGGATCACTTCTACAACTCTCTCTCTCTCTCTCTGTCTCTCTCTAACCCTAATTTCAGTTGCCATAGAAATTTGGCATCCCTCTCTTCCACCCCCACCCCATATCCGACGCCTGCTTCCCCCCCTACAACATATTCGTCGCCTGTGAGCACCAGCTCTTGTGCCTCTTACCTTGGCTTTTAGTAACAAACAGCATACTGAAAGTGAGCTCTTCGATTATTGTACTACAAGAGAGCATTTTAAATTGGGCTTCCTTTACATGACAGCTCATGGTTAGTGCTCTGTGACTTCTGTCTATGTTCTTATTTTCTTTTCTTTTTTTCAACTGCAATACTTTTCTTTTCTTTACCCTCTTTGTCCAATTTATTTTTTTGATTCATTTGCTTTTGTTATGATATTTCTTGTCAAGTCTGGGGCTTTACTTGGGAGGACATTCACATGGTTCAGAAGTAACTTCTGTTGATCTTCACCGGGTCAATGAATTCCATCATGGGTTCCTTGGCTCATTCCTACGAAGGTATGGATTTTTAGAACATTTTTGTCAAGAAATCTGCTTATTTTGTAGTATACACAATCACTTATTTTCTTTAGCTTGGTGAATTTATTTTCTTATAGTAAAGAGAAGGCGAAGGACTCAATAATTTATTCGTACAAAAGACATATCAATGGTTTTGCTGTTGTTCTTGAAAAGGAAGATACATCACAAATATCAAGTGTGACAATACATATTTTTTTACATTTATTCCTATGTTTCCTATGTTCTAGGTTTATAGCATGTTTGGCAATAAGGAAAAAAATGTTAAAATCTCATTCACCTCGAAACGTCTCCCATTCCTAGCGGCTTCGCTTCCTGTGCTTTTTCTTGTTGATGAGGTGCCGAAAAGGTTTCTGCATTACCCGGAAAAGCCTAGTGTCCAATAAAGCATGTTTATTTTGTACTAAAACATATTTTTTGTCATTGAAGATCATCCAGATATAGTATATATTCTCTTGGATCAAGGAAGAAATTTACACACAACACATTCTTGTGAATTTCTTATGTTGGAAAGAAATTCTTAGCATTCAAAACGTTAATATTACCTTAAAAATAACACAACCCGTGCAATGCACGGGACAAAAACTAGTCCTAAGAAAAATATGAAAAAAAAAATGAGAAAGAGGAAAGGAAAGTAAAGGAAAATCATAAAAAAGGCATAGGTTCTAATTTCTGTTCTAGCTTTTCTCCCTTTGGAGGATTTAATATGTAAAATCATTTGTTGAAGAGCTAGTTATATTTTTCAAAAATAAAAAAATAAAAAATCATAAGAAATGTAATGGAGGAAAAGAAAAATATAATAACAAATTCAAATATAGTTCGAAAAAGGTTTATGTTCTATTATGGTGTTTCTCGATTTGGAGGATTTAATTTTTAAAATCTCATATTAAAGATTTAGTTGTATTTTTCAAGATATTCTCGTAGGAACTATAACATTTGAATGATTAGGTCGACTTCCATGAAGAGAGTTTCGTCTCAAGGAGAAGATCGCAATGCCTTGAGAATTGAGTACAGTTTTCGTTACTTTATAATATATTCGTTATATTACAACAATAAATTTAAACGATAATCGAATACTAAAATTTTACCCATTAAATGTAAAATAAGAGATTTCATAAATGCCCCTATCAAATAAAGCAATTGAAAAATAGAGGGCCACTTTCTAAATTATAATCTAATACATATAATAATTAATTCAAAAAATTAAAAGGTTTCTTATCTCTTAAGAGTAAGAGAACACGAATATCTAACCCTAACCTAAATGAGGGTTTTGTTGTCACTTGGACTAAGCTTTGTGTGAAAGGAATTTATATTTCTTTATATGCTTCTTTATTGATTATTTTGAAACTAGTTTTATTTGAGTAGGATCTTGTTTTGTACGTGGAGTTTGTTCACATATCTTAATTGAATAATTTGATGAAATCAAATATTCCTATTTCATGAATTTTTTACTTTTTTTATAATCTATTTCAAGTATAGACCAAATCTGTAACATTTGTTCTATTTGAGCCATTTGAAGTTTCTAACTCATTTTGATTTTGATTATATAATTCACTATACCTATTTTTCAAGTACGCTATTATTACTTGATCTTACATTACTAGACTTATCGAACCAACGCTCAAACCAAGACATGGTCGCAATTAAAAATATTGATGCTTGGTTACTTGATTGAAGTTTGTGAATGAAATTTGTGTCCTCCTCATCAACCTTTTGTTTTCTCTTCAAGGTTTCAAAAAATCATCATTTCCCTAATCTCGTTGTAGTTATAATTTGAACAACTTTATTAATCTACAATGGCGATGATAACCTGTCTATGTGACAATTGTTCTACTTCCACGGACCGATATAATCATAACTCTACATAAATAGCATTATTCTATCTTTTCAGATAAATTACGTTATTTCTTGAAGTGTTCTTTCTCGCTCACTTTCACTCAGATGCTTGCTATCTCGACATGTTTTTCAACGTAAACATCATAATATTTTAAAGGAGTAATGCTATTTATCGTTAGTACGATCATCAGCCGTCTTAGATAAATTACGTTCTTTCTCAAAGTGCTATATCTCGCTCACTTTCACTCTAACATTTGATATCCTAACATATTTTTTTAGTGTAAACATGTGTTGCATTATAGTGTTTTAAAAATAGAGCAATACTATATGTCATTAGTACGATCATTAACTGTCATTTGATTCATTGTCCAATAAAGTTTTGAGACATTTTACAGTTAGACAATAAATTAGGGTGTCACTACGACCTAGAGTTATAGTGGATTGCACTATTTCTTTAAAAATCTTTTTTATTTTTCCTCCAATTTTTCTCGAGTCTCCAACATCTTCAGTACATTGCATTTCAGTCGTCAATCTTCCAAATTTTCTTTGGAAGTTGGAAA